CCGCGTATGGTCGTATATTTCAAGACAGTAGAGTTTCTTCAACAAACTATCATTGCCACGGCACAAGGAATAATCATTCTCTACTTCAATATCCCGCCTTCGCTCTCATTAGGCTCGGACCTCACGTACTAGCCTCCAGCATTTTGGACCAACAACACGCGGCATGATGCGAAACTTGGAGGATAAAAGGAGATAGCAGTAGTAATACAGCATGGTCATACAATCACTGGGCATAGAATAGACCACCTGGTCAAGCATCATCTAGTACGAGTCGTGGGATGACATTCATGGCCATAAGCTAGAACGGCATATCTATATCAGCTCGGACGCCAGGCACTACAGGTTGGTACCACGTACCTCTTGGAAAAGCAGTTTTGCCGCGTAAGGGATCGTCAATTGCGCCATCTTCTTCGAGCTCTTACAGTACGAGCACCAGCCATTGTATCCGAGCAAGCCGCACTCTTGGCACGCATTGACCTCGAACTTGTCGGACGAGATCATGAGCCGCTCGAGCAGCAGTTGTGTTGCCCCGTAGCCAATCAAGCAGTCGCGCTCCATCTCGCCAAGACGCAGACCACCCTCGCGGGAGCGTCCCTCGGTGGGCTGGCGTGTCAGCGTGGCTCTCGGTCCCCTGTGCACAGATTTGAGTTGTACCTTGTGTAAGCGACAACCTGGACACACCTTGCCCTAGCGTGCATCTTGTCCATGACCATGTGCTCTAGAAAGATTGTGAGCGTACTCGTGAATATGAAATGCGCCCGAGCTTACTCAGTTTCTGTTGCAGAAGGATATAATTAAGTGCGTGCTAGTGGACTGCTGTGGGCGCTGAACATTACCTGGTAGTAGATCGGTCCAAAGTACACGTAGGCTTCCATCGGCTCGCCCGTAATCCCGCTCGTGAGCATGTCCTTACCGGCATAGCTGAAGCCGTTCTCGATTAGGATCCGGGACATGTCTTCTACCTGCGCAGGAGATATTCAGCGCCAGAACTCATCTGGTTAGACGTGAGATGAAGCCGACCTTGGAACCTCCGAACGCAGTGCCATATTGAAGTTTTCCCGCGAGAACTCCGGCCTAGTACAAGGAACGTATCAACATCAGCTCCGATGCTGGCGCTTTGGAAGCGCCGAAACACCGCGCTAGCTATTGTAGACTCACCTTGCCCGCTAGTAGTTCAATCATCTTTCCGACTGTCATACGCGAGGGAAAACCGTGAGGGTTCATGATAGTATCTGAAGGTTTCGTTAGTTCCCACCGCTTGTCAAAAGGACGGAGCGCGCAGCGTACCTGGAACGATGCCTTGGTCGTTGAACGGCATGTCCTCCTGGTTGACGATCAGACCACAGACGCCCTTCTGTCCGTGGCGAGAGGAAAACTTGTCGCCTAGTTCTGGCCGGCGCGTTTGCCGCATCAGGACCTTGATGAGCGTCTGGTCATTCTCAGTATCGGACAGCATGACTTTGTCGATGTGGCCTGCGACTGGCGACTTGTAAGTCATCGGCGCATTCTTGTAGGGAGCGGACGCTCCAGAACCCGAGAAAGTATGATCATTGGCGTTGGCAGGGGACTGTTTGTTGATGTACACGTCTCCGGGGTCCACGCGCTCGCCCACACCCGCAAGACCGTCAGGTTGTATGATATCATACTTCTTCGCAAGCTGTCCATTCTCGTCCCGCGGAGCGTCCGCTAAACGATCGAACCTACGGTCCCGCTCAGCGCCATGTCACGTGTATATTAGGATTCAAGACGTACGTTCCGTTCGGGTATTTGCGCAGGAGGGTGGTGTTCTTGCGCAGAACCTGACAGCGCCCATATCCGCGGTCAAGGCTGGCCTGAACATGCAATGTGTCAACAACACGGCATTAACTTAACATTAGTGAGACGCGCACCTTATTTAGAATAAGCGCGTCTTCGATGTCGTATCCCGAATAGCTCATCACGGCGACCGTGGCATTCTGACCAGCAGGTAATTTGTCATACCCGATGAGCTCAATGGTCTTGCTCTTGACCATTGGTTGTTGGGGATAGACGGACAGGTAAAGGAGGGTGTCAATGCGGTCGAACTGGTTGTAGCCGATGGCGCCAATGGCTTGCTTGCCCATGGCGCATTGATACGTGTTACGCGGCGATTGATTGTGATGAGGATAAGGAATGAGGCCGGCGACAGCGCCGAGCAGTGTGAAGGGTTCGATCTCTAGATGCGTCGTCGTTGGCACGATGTCCTTCTCATACAGCGCAATGTAAGCGTCGTTCTCTTCGTTAACGTCCAGATACTCGACCAAACCTCGTCGCAAGAAGTCGTCGAACTGCATGGCTCCTGCCTTGAGCGCCTATAACATGATCAGTAATCGGAGTGTTTCAAAGGAAGCAGTAGATTGTACGTCAATGTGAGGCTTCTGGACCATAGGTTGTCTGTTGGACACAATGATGATGGGTCGGCAGATACGCCCTCCATCCGAAGCGATGTTGACGGTCTTGTGGTGATGATTGACGAAGACGCTCACGAACTCGCTAATGCGTCCTGCTCGGCGAAGACGACGGAAGTTGGCCACGAAGCGCGCCGGGAACTTGGTGAGCCCGATGATGGTTCCATTAACGTTCACGACAAAGGTGTGTGGGCCGTAGATCTCAGTTCCCGTGGACTGGCTGATGTCTGTGGCATTCAGAAGGTTATACCCGGCTCTCGCGCTCACGAGTGCCAAATGCGCTCACCTTCGACCCCGAGCATGTATGCCACCTTGATGATAGGCTCTTCATCGATATCCGTCGTGATGTGGGTCATGAGCGCTAAGTTCTTCACCAGACCGCATGCTTCTCCTTCGGGCGTATCGCTAGGACAGAGCATGCCCCATTGACTGGGCTGAAGTGCGCGGGGGCCGGATACCTTACGTGTCTTCTCAAACTGAGAGGATATACGGGTCATCATCCCAAGAGCGGAGATGAAGCTCAGCCGTGAAAGGACGTGCGTGACGCCGGCGCGGTCCATACGGAAACGCTTGAGCGACCAGTTCCCGGTCGAGATCGCGCGCACGAATCCAGCTGTGATGAGATCGCCCTGAAACTGCATGGTATTGAACGCGTCAAACTCGTTAGTGCGAGATGGCTTCTTTAGCACTTTGTCGATTGCCGATTTCAGGTTAGAGTTGTAGGTCTTGAACAAATCCTCGAATAAGAGGGCAAGCAGCTGACCGGCCCTGATATGCCGGATGAGTAGATAGTTCCAGGGAGATAGGAATAACCCACAGCTCGAGACGTTTGTTTCCGACGTAATCGCGGTCATCGACCATCTTCTCATCGTCCATGGCCATGAGAACGCGACGAGCCATCGTGGCGACAAAAATTGCCTTCGAGCGGAAGTCCAGTCCGACAACCGGAACATGAGCGAGCACGATTGTCGCGAGCGCCTCAAGCGCTTCCTCCCATGCCGGCCGACGCGGTCCGACTGTGCGACGGTTGACCTTGACGCGCGAGCCGATCCACTCGAGCGCCTGGTGGCCCGTGAAGACGCCCATCTTTGCTGCGTCCTCGAGGTTCGGTGCGAAGGCATCTTTGTAGGCGTCGTTGTTTCCCGCCGTAAGTAGAAGGATCTCCTTGTCCGACTGGATACCTAGCGCTTTGAGAGCGATGACGATGGGGACGTCCTCGTGGATGGAGTTGTGTCGCAGGTAGATTTTGCCCTTCTTCGTGGCGACGTACGTCTTGGACTTGAGACCACCGTGCGTCGACCTGAACATGCGTCAGCCAGAATTTCAAGAGACAAAAACGCTTGCGCTGCCCCAGACCTGAGAGTAATGGCTGCGCTGACAGCTTTCATCGAGATTCACACCGGATGCAAGTATCCCTAACCATATCGCAGATGTGGGGCAGCACAAGATGTACCAAACCAGTTTATTGACAAGCAATACGTACGATGTACACGAAGCCTGCACTACGCCCTTGACGGGGTCCGTCTCAACAATGATACGGTTCTTGCTGAGCTGCTCTTGGACGAGGATGACCTTCTCCGTGCCCTTGACCACAAAGTATCCACCGGGGTCGAGCGGACATTCATTCTCCACCGACAGCTCCCGCTCATTCTTATTCGCTAGCCAGCACTTATTGCTCCTCAGCATGATGGGGATTCGGCCGATGCACACGCCTGTGCGCTTCACGACCTGTTTGCCGCGCGTGTACTGAATCGTAACGAGAATCTGAGCAGAGTATGTCGTGTCGCGTAGTCGACACTCGTGTGGCGTCACATTCTTGTTGCCAGAGGTTGCAGTCCCGTCTGGTCTGTCCGGCATCATGACCTGGATATCCGTGTACTTCAGCCAGAAGCGAGGGTCGACGTCCGAGGTGATTTTGTTGTTCGCGCGCAGAATACTCTTAATGTCGACGTCGACAAAGTAGTTAAAAGAGTCAATGTGCTGCTTTACGAGACCCTTGACTTTGAGGAAGGCAGGAAGTAGCAACCATTTGTCCTGTACTGATTATTATTACCCTGTGCATTTGCTGAAGTCTGTACGTTGCATACCTCGACGCTTTTGATCGGATCGGTAAGCCCTAGCCCGTTATAGGACGCCTGATCCCTCCTCTCCCAAGAGTCCTCATCATGGTCATGCTGCATGGCTCATGAAAGTGCTCAGCACAGAAAAAAGCAAAGCCCGGGGAAGATGACGGTAAGAGTCAAACGCGCTCGATGCGCGCGTCGTGCCAACTTCGCGAGAAACGCGGTCACGTGGCTTAACAGCGTGAACGACCCCAAGCCCACGCGCACAAAGTCGCGATAATGCGAGCACGCCTGCAGGGGTTCACCAGGGATAAAATACGAACACGTAGACAGGCATCTTATCTTCATACTAGATCAGTTTGAGAGGGTGTCACGGCAGTGACTGCGTATTATCGCCGTGCAATCACCACCCGATTTTCGCGGGCCGCGCCTGGACAGATGCTTCCGTTTGGTCTGCTCTGGCTCTCTATCTCCCTCGCTCTTCCTCTGTGGAAACATACAGCAAAAGCAATGATGAGAGTGGGATTCGAACCCACGCCCTTTCGGACCAGATAGCAGGAAAGCTCCTTAGTCTGGCGCCTTAGACCGCTCGGCCATCTCACCTTGTGATTCCTTCTTGCCCAAGCGTATACGCTGCATAATGTAAGATAGTTGAACACCTCAACACAATGATTGCGGACGTCTGGCTTACCCAGTACGATATGTCTTGAATCAGGTCATAGGCATCCAAGAAGGATCATAATAGAGCGGATCTACGTGGTCGGAGGCGGGCCCAAATATGGTATACTACCAGAAACGTAGCTGAAATTTCAATGGGGAGTTCAACTATTTTACGTTATGCCGAGTAGAGTAGATCGATCTGCGCACATCGTGACAGTCAAATTCTTGAGAGCGGCATAACTGTCGAGAAATGGAGCATGAAAGCCTACACGCACTAAACCAGCATGAACTGCCCAGTCACCGACTCGCTGACCGAGTATTGCTATCGATACTCGAGGTTAGATCAGCTTCGGTAAAATGACGAGGTTGCCTACTTATGCAAGATACTGAAGTTCCCTTCGTCTATTGCAATTAAGTGCCGGATAAGTGGACAGACATCCAACCTGCAGATAGATCACGGCGCTAGTGCTGGCAGAATAGTAATGTGCTATGATGGTACAGATGCATGGGCTAGATCTACTCGTCTCCTGCATCAGCAGTGGGGGTGTCCTCTACCCGCCCCTTTCTGCGTTTTCCTCGGCCTTCTCTCCATTTGCGATTTATCTCTTCGACGCTCTCGCGCCTCTCCCTCTCCAGCAGCGGGACGTACCGCCGTACCCTAGCATTCGTGCCTCCTCCGAGGAGTACGTTTGCAAACCCGATTCCCCGCACGTCACTTGGACTCGCCAGCGGAAGCCCATCGTGTTGAGGTGGGTGGAAACGTGCTGCAGCGGCTAGAAAGCATGCATCAAGGGCGGTGTGTATCTTCGCACGTTCGAGAGCGCCACTGAGCTGGAAGTGAACGCTCTTTGCGCCCGGTCCATCGTCCTCATCAATGCCCGCATCGCTCCTCCAGTTCACGTCTTCATCTTTGTATGCGCAGTCCCAAAGCACTAGCGGCAATGCGTCCGCCATGAGATACTCTGGCCGTCGTTCCAAAAGCGGGACACTTGGGTCAGGGTTCGGCGACGACGCATCGGCGTTCAGCAGAGCATCGATGATGCTAGGCGGCTCGAGACCCGAACCGACGAGAAAGAGTACGGCCATAATGTGTCTGACTTGATTGTACAGAAAGCCCGATCCAACAAGGTCAAAGACGTATAGGCCCTCCACGCCTGGATTTTCCAGATCACTGTCCAAGTTCGAGCACTTCGAGATGTCGGCACGAAAAACGCGCCGCCGGAAGCTTGTGAGCTGTTTGCTCGCATCGACGCGACATAGATTACGCCAGTCATGTTCGCCGGTCATTTTGGCTGCTGCCTCACACATTCTGTCCAGATCCATGCCTCGTGGAGAGAAAAAGTACTTGTAATGCCGCCGGAGGGTGCTGAAACGCGCAGAAAACTCCGATGTGACAGGCGACCAAGCAATGATGCGTATAGAGGGTGGAAGAATAAGGTTGAGCATGTGCGCATAGCGCAATTCGCGAGAGTGCGTGGGTGTATCGGGAATGGATGTGCGTGCTGGCGCGGCGTCGAGGTCGAGGTCTGCAAAGGCGCCGAGCCCATCATCGTCGCTCAATGTCCCTTCAGCTTCGCTCATTTCCTGCAAAACCTCCGATTTCTCCGTATCCTCACTCGCACCAGGTGGCTCCCATGCTCCCTCTCCCGGATTATCCCGTAGTTGACTTCTAACCCACACGCTGACAACATTTCCTGCGCCGCTAACCCCGCGGTCCGTGCGCCCACTGCGCTCCCAACCGCAGGCCTCGAATCCGCCAGCGGGGTCAATCAGCCGCGCCTTAGCCATCGCAGCAAACAAGGCACCTTCAACGGTCGGTAATGGCGTAGGCAACGTCTGGTGTGCGAGTCCATTATACTCATCGCCCGCATACGAGAACCGTATAGCAATCTTGCGGCGTGCGTGAATTTTCAGGTCTATAGGCGGTGCCTCAGACTGTGCGAGCTTGCTGGAAGACGCGACAAGCTTCGCTGCACCTATCGGGGCTTTCTTCGATGAGATAAGCGGTGTGGGTGCGTTGAGATGAAGAGGTACTCCGGGCATAGCTTCCTCAAGAGCTTTGATGCGCGCTAACAGCTGCTCACGCGTGTATGCACTGTAGTCTGGAGACATTGTGCGACGAGACCAAAGGATACCGAGGAAGTCGGGACGCGGACGGACGCTGGGTACCGGGCGCATGAGTCAGGCGCAAACGGCCTGGACTTTCAAAAGTGGCGGGAAACGGCGCACGTGAAGATGAGTGAGTGTTGATTGTCGGGCGGTCTACCAGATGCTTTCAGTCCTAGGTTTTACTATAGAGCGAAATTCAATGAGATGAGATCCAAGCCCCGCCTAGGAGCTGGTGGTCGAGGTCAAGGAGTAGGCGAATCGCGTCGCGATCACCTTCCATCAGCACAAACGCTTCAGTCACGCCACCGTTTTGCACTTTGCCAGCAAACCACCACCAACCCATAGACTCCGAGCACTGTATCTACCGTGCCTTGATAGATCACAAGCTCTCAACATGCTTGCATCACCCTTATAAGGGACAAACTATATTGGCTTGCAAATGCCAGTGATGGCCGACTTGGATGACGCCTTAGGTTATGGGCTGCGATGCTTACTGCTTACATGTGTGATGGGACTTGTATCGTGCTTTACCTGATGGTGTTACTGTCTGCACTGTTTCCGCTAATGCGATTGCCCGAGCCCGTTCGAATTTGTGCACGACACGGCTTAGAAATCCGTGCATTTCTAAAAGGATTTCGCCATCGCCGCGTCAAACCGTTTGGGCGGTTCTTGCACGCTTTGCGAATATGAGTCTTCGTCAGACTCTTCTGCGGCATTGTCTTGCGTCGCGCAATAGGTATGGATGCTGCTCTTTGTCAGCTAGATGAATGTCCACTACAGCACGTTGGACGGCACGGACGTCGTATAAAGGGGCTGGCTGAAAGACTGTCTCCAGCATCCATCCAGCAACTCCTTTTTGCATCTTACAGCTGCAATGTCTACCTCCCGTCTCTTTCAGCCTATCCAACTTGGTCGCTTGGCTCTTCAGCATCGTGTGATCATGCCTGCGTTGACCCGCAACCGCATCGACAAGGACACGCGAGTAGTCGGAGAGGACGTCGCGGAGCACTACGCCTTACGTGCCGCCGTTCCCGGGACGCTACTCATCACTGAGGCCACGTTCGTCATGCCCCAGGATGCGGCGCTCGACATGTGGAAGTACACTCCAGGCGCTTGGTCGCCCGAGCAGATTGCGGGATGGAAAAAGGCTAGTGTCCACTTCATGCCTATCCTCTCCGCAACTAACTCTGAGTGCAGGTCGTCGATGCCGTCCATGCACGTGGCTCCTTCATCTATTTACAATTGTGGACGATGGGCCGCGAGGCGAACCCAGATCTTCTTGCCGAGCTGGACCCGAACTACCCCTACATCTCTGCGTCTGGCGTTTCTGTTGACGGTCACAGCAAGGCGCCGCGCCCTCTTACTCGCGAGGAGATCAAGGAGTACGTGCAAGCTCACGCCCGAGTGGCCAAGGCGGCTATCGACGAGGCAGGCTTTGACGGTGTTGAGCTTGACCTCGCGGGCGGGTATCTGATCGACGAGTTCCTCAAGGAGTTCATGAACAACCGCACGGACGAGTACGGCGGGAACCCTGAGAACCGCTCACGGTTCGCTTTGGAGGTGATTGATGCTGTGGCGCACGAGGTCGGTGCGGATCGTGTCGGGGTGAAATTGACGCCCTGGGATACGACGCGTGGCAAGGGTTACGGTACGTAGACTTTTCTTACCATACCTCCCCTTCAAGCGCGATACTGATCTGCTATTATAGAAAACGAGAACCCTATCCCGACGTTCACGTACCTGGTCACGGAGACGCGCCGTCGCCACCCCGACCTTGCGTACCTGCACGCTGCTGAGCCCCGTTTTGGTGCTCTGTATGGGCGTATTGTCAAGGACTTCGAGTCGAACGACTTTCTGCGCGACATCTGGCGCGGCAAACCGTACATTTCCAACAGCGGGTACGAGCGCGAGAACGCCATCGAGCAGGCTGACGCCAACGAGCATGAACTTATTGCGTTCGGGCGCCACTACACATCCAACGTGAGCACCCTTACTACTTGTCATATTGGGACGTGCACTGACAGCCTTTGCATCCATCAGCCTGACCTTCCTATCCGGCTCCAGTACAACATCCCACTGACGCCGTACCAGCGCGAGACGTTTTTCGCCGAGCTTGACCCCGTTGGATACAACACGTTCAGGTTCGCCGAAGAGAGCAAGAAGATACTCTCCGAGCAGGGAGTTTCTGTCGATGGTCTGTAAACTGCCGGGTGCATAAATTTCTGTTACTGGCTCGTACGCGTGCCCGTCGTACATATCAATTTCGACTAGAGTATCTATGACCGGATGTAAGGTTGTACTTATCGGTGGCAGGTATCGATTACATGTGTACAAGTATCCCTTACAAACTGTTATCATTCGATCCATCTGTGCGGTTGTGGTTTTCTGTGTGTGCTCTACCGAGTCGACACTTCGCATTTCGACTCCGTCGTATACACCAACCAGGCCGAAAGGTCGCTGCTCAGCGCGTGTTGCCTTTGCCTGCAATCACCGGTAAATACAGATTCACAGATGTGGCGTGCATTTCTCACCTCTCTGAGTGTCATACAAGTGCTGTTCGAGTCCGACAGAAGTCATGAGTCTGGACCATGGTTTGGGGGATCCTGAACGTGAGCTTGGAGGAGATGGGGGCCTGTCCTTACGCCTGCTAACGCTTGATTTGTCGGCTACAGTGGCTGGTTTCAGTTCATCTATTGCCACAGTAGCGACTGTCCGTACCTCCCATTGGCATGGCCTTGCGCCGAGAGTCTACCGAGTTGTTCGGAGGCAAAACCGGCAAAGACAGGCTATGAGCACCCCAGCGAGACCATCCCGCATCCTCTCGGAGATAGTCT